GAAATCAAATTCATGCTTTGGCACAGAGGTTGGCCATTGTAGGACTCATGAGGACTCGTAGCACATTTGATGCCCCCAGCACCCCAAGGAGTCACACTGCTGAAATTTGGTAGCAAAATGGCTGCATTGCAGCAGCATAAGTCTTTCTAAATTCAAAGGGGGAGAGGGGAATTGAAAGAGGAGGTATCTGGAAAGAAACTGCTATAATTTCTATCCTTATTCCCCACCACCACCACCACCAATAATCCTTGAAAATGACTTAAGAAAAATTTGGGGGCAGGAAGATGCTTTTAGGGTGAAAATGGGAGAAGGGAGTCTTCCCATTCCTAGTCCCATAATTAAAATCCCTTCCAGCCAAAAATGTCAACCTATTTCAGCCCCACTCCTTCTGGAGACATCGCCATAGCACCAGATGCCTTCCTACAACCCTTTGGAAGGTAAACAGACTAAGCTGCAGCTGCACACCCTTCAAGCACTGCCTGTCCCTCCTCTATAATGAGGCCATCCTAGAACCCTCTGAAATGCACACATGGGTTTTGTGGTAGCCATGCAAGGGTTCTTTGGAACATCAAACTGAGCAGAGTTCCTGACATCAGAGATGTGGCAGCTCTTCAAACAGGAGTAAATATTTTCCAATCCAGGATTGCTTAACATGGTTGCTGAGCCAGGTTCATCCCTCAAAGGTACTGTTCTATTGACCAGCTAAGATGAAAAAAACCAGGCACTTATGCCAAGCCTGGACAATCCAGAAAGTTTCATACATTCCTGTGTTTCTGCTGCATTTCCTATGTCCTACAGGGATGGAGGGACACTAGGCTCAGCTTCATCATGAAATCCCTCCTCCAAGCCTTAGGAACCCACAACTTGCTGAGACTAGGAAGTATGAAAGCCACAGAATTCACAGTCAAGAGTTTTGATCTCAAAAACAGCTCAGCTCCATTGGAGGTTGGGGTAAAATACATGAGCAAGGCACCCTGCCATTCGCTTGCTGCCACCACCCAACTATTTTTCACGCCAAAAGGTCTTTTTTGGCAGCGGGGGTGCATAAGTTTCACAGTAGCCATGTTTAGCTTGGTATCTTGCTTTCCTTGGCGCAAATCAGGAAAGACCGAGCAGAATCATTACCGGAGAAAAATTCTTCCTTCTTTTCTAGTCAACGGCACATACAAAGAAAGAGCCAAAGTATCACTGAGGCTCAAAAGCAAGGGTGGAACAAAAATTGTCCTCCATTACTTTGTCCAGGTCAAAGCAGCTAAACAACATTTTACCTCCACAGGTCTTAGCCTAGCACCAGATTGTAAGGGTTGTTCCTTTCCCACCCCACAATTGTGAATATTGGGAATATTACAATGTTCATGATTTCTCTCCAAGGTATACCTACGAAGGGGAAAATATTCAAAGTTCCATTTCAGTTCACAAAAAAAAAAAAAAAAGGCTGGAAAAGTTAGGAACTGAACTTATAACTGGGCCCAAACCAAACCCAAGGAACTTGTAATTCTTTCCCTAAATCCCATATAACATTCCTTGAGAACATATTCATAACTTCCATTTATAATATTTTATAACTTCTTTACATGATTTGTTTAAAATATTCTACCTTTCCATCAAATATGAACTTCAAGGAAGCTTCAGATCAATATTAAAGAAAGCAAAACTATTACAAAGCAATGCACAGAATAGCTGAGAAAGGACACCAAAACATCTTATCACTAGCTATCCCAAACATGCTGAGAAACATTAAGAACTTCATTTACAACCTGAATTTAATCAATGAGAAAATGAGGCAAGGAGTCAATGAATGAAGTGCGCCCTTAACTGAAGCAGCCTGCTGCATATATAGCAAGTTCGAACTAACCTTCCTGGTGCAACATTCTGGGCAATGTCTGAATGCTTCTCAAAAGTTAGCTGAATGCAAGAGCATTACATAGCAGTCTTTATCAACAAGGCATGATGATGTGAACCTCTTCTATTTTTATTTAAGAGAATTGAAGCTCTTATACCAACCTAAACTGGGAAAAGGTTCCCCTGGTCATGCCAAAAGAAGCATTACCCAACCTGTGACTTGGGCTTGGAAAGGAGATAGATGCACCCTTAAGTCAAGTAGAGCTTGTTCTATCAAGTCGATGTATAGCCCATTCGACTGCTTTGCTGAATGCTATGCATATTTTTGGAACTCGCCTGCTGAAGATGTTTCATAGTTGTTTAACATAGCTTTTAACACGGTTTTTATATGTTTCGTTTGATTTTATTAGTATTGTGCTGTTTTTTTGTTGATGTTTTTTAATTGCTTGAGTGCCCAGAGTCCCATGTATGAGATGAACTATACAAATCAAATCAAATCAAATCAATAATGTGCTTTTTGATCCACTACCTTGCCTGAATTAAATAGTCCTTTCCAGAGTCCATCTACCACAAAGTCCAGCCACATAACTTCACTTACTACACTGGTACTTCAGGAAAACGACTGATCGGCGGGTACCAACAAATACTGTATTCTAACTCTGAGATGAATTCATCCATTTATTCCACATAGGTGTTAATGAAAAGGAGACAAAATGCATTTAACAGCCTGTATGCCCAGTAGCTGCATACAACAATAGTTTTGAAGCACCACCACATTTCTCCTTTCAACCATTGCAAAAGGAAACCCTTAGATCTACCTCCTCGAAGCAACTTAGTAGTTACTACAGTCAGTGGTGTTAAATATACTCTGTGAGAATGAGAAGAATTTCAGGTCTGTACTGGCAATGTCCATCTCACAGATGGCTGATCCAGCAAGACAGCCAATGTAATCTCAGTTGCAAAACACATTGTAAATCAGACTGATAAGGAATCTAGAGAATCAGTAAAAATAACTAACAGCTCTGGGATACTTGTTAGTCTTTTAAGTTGCTACAGGACCCCTTGTGCTTTTATCCACAACAAATTAACACTGCTACCCCTCTGGCAACTGTAGATCTCCTAGCCTGAAGTTAGGTTCCCACTACATCGACTACATAAAAGCAAGATCTGTCTCGCTTTTATTGATCTTAAGTAAGCAGCCTGGGGAAATTTTCCAGCTGAAAAGTGGAATAAAAATGTTCTACGCAGGTATTATAAAAATGGTATAGATCACATTTCACTTTCCCAAAATATAAATCATCCCAGACCATTCCTTCTTGCACTTCCAAAGGAGATTTACACATGACTAATTCAAATCAAAATTTATTGTTACGATCAAAGATCAATAATATTACATGACTAATTACACCAAAAGCTAAACGTTATTTTTGGAACTGGGCTGTTCACAATTGGCAGCACATTAATAACTTCCAATATCAACTGAATTAGAGTCTAGAGCAATCGGCATTTCTGGACTACCATGGTTTCTATTCAGGGCTCCCCATGGTTAGCTTTACTGTTGTCAGCCTTGAAACTCTGATAAAACCACAAGCCAACTAGTGGTCTCTGCAGCTGACCCATCAGAGCGTGCGAACATGGCTTCATTCCATTCACATTTTAATTTCATTTTGTCTACCTTTCTCCAGTGATTTCCCCAAATCTTAGCATTTGCTATGGGGGAGAACTGCAAATAATAAATACTATTATTTCCCCTGCTTCATTTTAACCCTCTGCGAAATAACACCATTTCAGCAAGATGTTATAGCACCTGAACCTCTTTGGAGATGCAGGGAGGCTGGGTTGAGTCTGGCAGAGGATGGGAGCAATGAGAAACCAGCCCATTGATTCTAGAAAGTCATTGTCTCTAAAGGGGAAGCATTTCAACTGTGGCTTGAGATGCAAGATAGTTGAGTCAGGTAGAAATCCTCAAAGCACAGAGGTAGCTAAAGCTTATACAGGAGTTAAACACTGCATGCAGGTAGCTGTGAAGAAACTTAGCCTCACAGCTGAGATCATGGTGACATCCTGAGAACGCTGTGAGACTGCACACTGATAACATGAAGAACGCCCAATGCTCATGTGGGTCTTTGCTTCTTCTATGCCTTGAAGACTCGTGGAAGACAACACTGCTGTTATGGGTCCCTGAAGCAGAATGACTAGCATGGTGGTATTATCTAGTGGGCTGTCACTTTTTTCTCTGAGCTTAAGTGCTGGGAATTCAAAGGATCCTGACACTTCTACACAGATAGTAGCATAATCTAACTATTGACATGAGTCTGGGCTGACCAAAGATGGGCAACTTTCTTTGATTAGGAACCACTTTTACCCCTCTGGATAGGGGCAACGGTCATAGTAGATGAGGTGATGCTAAAACAGGTATAGTTGCATTGCATCATGGCTGGGATTTTTAATTGTGTTAAGCTACACTACCACTTGCATACATTCTTGACCTCAAAATGGTGGGAAATGGTTTTTTTTTTTTTTTTTTTTTGCAATTATACCTCTGGATTTTGGGAAGGGATGCTGGAAAAAAAGCATACATCAAGGGGCAAAAACAAACTTTTTATTTACAACAGGAATAAGCAAACAAACATCAAGAATCCAATCATTCTACAGTTATTTCTCGCCAAAGTTATCAACTAGCCTCAAGTCAAAAACTACTTAGTTTTATCCTTCTCCAATACAGCCAACCAGATTCTGCCAGGCTATATACACTAGATGTACTAAATTCTATTGTTACTGAATCCAAACCACATTTCTTCCCGCCCACCCACCCCGGCCCCAGTTCTACCCTGCAAACTAGAAGTACATTTATTTATTTATTACAGGGATTTCTATACCACCCTATCTCAAGCTTCTGGGCAGCATATAACCACAGTTGGTATACATAAGACATTGGGCTTCCAGAAACGCTGATGCTGCCACCAAAGAAGTTTGCCTTTGTCGACTTTCTTCTTCTATCTCATAATTTCAAATTTACAGATTCCAAAACAATATCCATGAAACTGGAAACAGTAAGTCTGAGCACTGAGAAAATGTATTCCACCAGAGATCAAAGCAGAGAAAAGACCATCACCAGGACCTCTAAAATTCACTCAGGCGAGTGTAGTTTTTCTTACCTCAAATATGTTTGATGACTCATTGGGATACTGATGGGAGATGATTTCCGATTGGTCACTGTACCACTTAAGCCCGCCCAGGAACCCGTCGTCGTCCAGATCATTCACATCTAATTCAGAGAGATCAAGTTCTGGAAGATCTGGACAGAGAGGCTGGTCTTCCCCAACCAAAGCAGCACACTAAGAAGAAGCAAAAACAAGAGGAAATGCTTCCATTGAGGAGATAAAACCGAGAAAACAGAAGCATGTGAGAACTGCATCTCTGTTCATTCACTCTCCCCACCTGACAGGTCACCATAGTTGACCGTATCCGAGGGAAATAAAAGGCAGAGACATTAAACAGCTTATGCAGGTGAACGAGAGTTGTGTGTGTTGGTCTGCCTAAAAGAAGAAAAGCTGATCTTTGCTCTCCAACCGTCTCCCTCTGCCGGGAACGATGACAATTTCTGCTTTTCCTGAGGGACGGAAGTCTTTTTAAAAAATGAGAAGGGCTGCCTAGTATTTCTGATCTCTCAACTAAACCAGAAAGTCTGTGGCAGCAAACAAATGCAGTCCTTCTCTGTTCCTGTGACTGGATTCACACATTACACTAAGACATTGTGCTTGTTCTGAGCTTTACACGCACTATGGACCCAGACGCCGTCGTTTCTTAACAAGCTTAGAGTGTTAGGCAACCTCAACAAACCTGACACAACATTGACAACAGTCCATGAACCACACTTAAAACCTTGGTTTTACCTAAAATTGGAATCAGCCCCTCAATAATATCTATGAATATGAAGAGAGAGACCATGGCCCTTGGACACCGTCCATGCATCATGGTGCATCATGGTGACCTCCAAGTATTTGGATTACAATTTCCCACAATCTCTTGCAATGGATCAAGCTCTTTGGAGCTGATGGATCTGAAACCAGTTTTCCTACCCCTGCCATTAAGGACTGCAGCCTGAGGTTCCTGCTGGTCGGAGGCTGCATCCTCTCTGTTTTGACCATCAAGCCAAATGGTGAGTGACAGATAAAGACATGCTGTCTTTCTCTGTTTCTCACCTGATCTATTGTTAGCTTAGGAGTCTCTTGTTTAGAGAAGGGATCTCTCTCTCTCTCCTTTTCTTCAAGAGAAGCATTGAGAGCATCTGAATTTTAAATGGAAATTTCTACTACTTACTCAACATTCTTTTAGCCCTCTGCTCAACCATGGCTACTACTGAAAATAACATTCATCTGCTGAATTCAAATCTTCAACACCTACCCTGCCAATAGCAGCCTTTGAAGCAGAGAACAGGGTGAAATGTTATGCCATGCTCAACCCCTTCCTTTCCCCAAAACAGATATTAGCAGGAGACCGTACGAATGAACCTAGAACCTCTTTTCAGCAGCAGCTGTCCATCTCCAGTGATAACTGGTCCAAGCAGGAAAGGAAGTGACTGAAATGTCACCAGGACAAGCATAACACACAATACCCACCTCTCCCTTCTTCTGCCAATGAGGTCCAAAATTATTACACATAACACAGCTAAGAACGAGCTTCCACAGCTAAGCTACACCTTTATCATAATAAACAGATGTTGAAATATGTTCATGGCACAAGAAAGCTGAGCATCTGCCAAATAATGACCAAAGATCTATAAACGTCACTTTCCATTTATGGAGTCCCCAATCTATATGAGCTTTACTTTTAGGCTACTAGATGTCTGCCGATAGAAAGCTGGTCTCTGGCCAAACTTACAAGCATCATTAATTGTTTTTTTATAGCATACTCTCTCTTAAGGATCAGGGTAGGACCATTTCCTTGTATTCACAATAGTTGGAGGAGGCCAATCAGTTCTCCAATGAGCTGGTTGGCATCAAGGAATAATAAGAACTGCCTCCCAGGTTTGGAGGAGTGAGACCCCAGTTCTTCTATCACAGTCTCTGGGCAGCAAAGTATGCAACAACAGTCTTTTGTCCTGCATTTAACGTTCACCTCTCTCTTCTGAATCCACCTTTGGGGTACACAGAAACCCCAGGTAGAGATGAATACCAACAACCATAATACTGGTGACATGATGCCTGGAAGTAGCAGGTGCTTAGGATTTGTGGCATGTACACTGTTTGTCCAATGTGAGGTAGTCCAGATCTGAAAGGTAGTCTTCCAAAACTTGCTTGATACAATAGAGTTTTCATTTTCTTTTAAAGTGTTCCCACCACATCCTCATAGTACACCTGTCTTCCACTACATGACTATAATGCAACACACTGCTGAACGAGTGGAGCTGCAAAGCCAAAGTAGTTGCTATGTGCCTTCCAGCATTTGCAGTACCCAAAGAAGGGAGAGAGGGAGGGAGGCAGGGAGGGAGGGAGGGGAAGGAGGAGGAGGAGGAGGAGGAGGAGGAGGAGGAGGAGGAAGGAAGGAAGGAAGGAAGGAAGGAAGGAAGGAAGGAAGGAAGGAAGGAAGGAAGGAATCTTGTGAAGTAGCCAAAATTCACAGAATCTCATGAGATTTGGGGCATTTTTATTTTCTTCTTTCTTTCTAATTTAAATGTCTAGGTCCCCACAGCACCCTAAAATGGTGCCTGCTGCCTCCAAAGTTTCCCCACTTGTGGTTTATTGGATGGCAGCAGCATCACTATTGGAAATTACCTTTCAGGATGGGAAAGCTTGTTTAGGCTATGCCTATACTTGGAAACAGAAGTGCCTCATACAGAAGGTACAGGGTTTAAAGTTTGGCCTTTCCAGCTCAAGACTTTGGGTGACAGAACTGAGAAAGTCTCCTGATCAAGATGGATCAATGGTGGCAGGCAGGCAAAAGATTGGAATCAGATTGGAATCTAATGGCACAACTATAGAGCAGATGGATGGGGGGTTCCAATTCCAATTCTCCCACAGGAAGACTGTATTATGCTGTTGTCCAGATTAAAAAAATGGATTCTGAAATTTGGAGGAAATAAGGACCAGGTATACAGATGTCATGAAGTCAGTTCATTCCTGGTACTGAAATTATATTTCTGGGCAAAAAATACCATCAGAAGCAGGGGCATTTATGGGGGGATCCAAAAAGTTAAGTTGGTGATTGAAATCACGTGACCATCCCACATGTACAAAGGGGAGGGGCTTCAATCACACAGTTGCAGCCACCCTCATGACTTATTTGGGAACCCCCACCCCCCACCTCGGATCCCCTGCCTCTATCTTTTGCACTAACTCTTGTTGGGTGATCGTAGATTTCTAGTAAATTATGAAACAGATCCATCAATTTTTCAGTTTATTCACCCTGCTTAAAAACATCTGTCATATCCTCTGAAATTCTTCTAGGACAAAGAACATAATACTGAACTTCAGATTTCATTTTTTTTTTAAATTGCTTGAGAATTCTCTGATTGATTTTATGGCTCAAACCAGAGATATACAAGCTGAGCATATGATCCCCCAAAGCCATGGCTACATGTCCCAAAGTAGTTACTAATGTTTATTGTGACAGCAGGGGAATGAGGTGTAATTAATTTGCTTGTTTGCTATATATTTATATACTTCCATGCTCCCTATGGACTTATCCTAGTTCCTTTTTGTTTCAGCCTCTCCAAGTCTTATGGGGAATCACTGAGGGGCCACCTGAGGCCCTCAGCTTGGGAAAGGTTGTGCACCCCTGACTAAATCTGCTCTTGAAAAATTTGACATTTACCTGTGCCAAGTCTTCCAGTGCAATTCTTACCCATGGAAAATGACGGCAAAGTAAATCTTGCAATCGTGATTTCAGACCCAATAATCCACACGTGCCAGGCAAGGAATAGCTTTATGCAAGAAAAGTTGTTTAAACAGGCACACCTTGGATTTCTTAGAGGAGGCGAAAGGTCCTTGTGTCTGTGGGTCTGGAATAACAGCGTGCTGGATTGTCAAACACATTTTTAAAAGGCAACAAATTCCCTTAGTTTTCTCAGCAATCTGGTGTATAGCTGAAGCTGACTGAAGATGTGTTTCATCTTACTGGGCATTCAAAATTGGGTAAAGTCAGGAGCAGACACAGGGGTGACAGCCACAGACTTCGATGTTTTTTGCAACTTCATGGTTCACAAACACAGAATCCAAAACCAAAGAACTCTGAAACTCCACTGAATGTAAGGGGTGGGGGGGTGGGAGATGACATGTGCTTTCTAACTCAAATAATTTGGACTCTGGGCATATCGAACCCAGCAACAGAGTGAAGGCATTCATGTAAAAACCCCTCAACTTCCAGATTTACCTACACCGTGTTTTCAATAATCTTTTCTGATTTAACTGCTTTGCTTTGTTTTTCTTATCTGAAGCTTCCTTCCATTAGTGCTTGTAGGAATTAAGCAGAATTTGTTCCAGGAAGCATCATGGAATAGCAGATCATAGTGAAAAGTCAAGTTTCCAACCAAGCCACTTCATTTGCTGGATTTATCTGTGTTAAAAAAAAAATGGCAGAGAATCCAAAATGGGTGGGCTTAGGGTCACAGCCAGATTTCAGAGGCCACCGATGGCAAAGGTGGCCCATTTTCCTCATTTTATAGTCTTCCTTTATTTTCTTGAGCGATGTCAACTAAGGTCAACTAAGGTGACTCCAGAACCTTTTGCTGCCCACCAACTCATGAATCTGCCGGGATCTGAGATAAGCACAGTTTTTTTTTCTTGAAGTTGGACAGGAGTAAAGTAAACTTTCAAGAAACATTTAAGAGACAATCTTGGAGGAGGGGGGAATCGCTGCATATTCCAGGCCTGATATCATAATTGCAATGTACATGTTTGAACAGAGAAATGAGGTCAACAGACATCAACCAATTATTAAAGGCTGCAATTTTGAATTCAACATTCTTTGGCCAAAGAGCATACAAAGCAGGTAAACAGATCACAGAACAGAAAAAGGGACAGTTAAGAGCTTGACATAATAGTTTCATTATTCTTATTCTTTAAGAGAATATAGAGTGGTAATAATCCAGGGGTTATTTGAGGTATCTATGTACTCTGCAATATATCATGCTTAAAGGAACAAAAAAGATTCATCAACACTACCGTAAGAAAGTCTTGCCTTTCCCAGTCTAAAAGTTCACTTCCAAATGCAGATGAACTAATAAAGAAGGGATCTTTTTCCTGATACACAAACAAAATAGTTGATTACAGGAACTTTGGGCTTTGTCCGAAAAACTAAAACACTTAGCACTCTTCCCCAGGTTGGTGTTGCAGAAGTCAAAAGCTTAAAAGTGACGCCAGGGGTTTGCAAAACAGCTTGCCAGTTTTTTTGTTTGTTTTTTTACTACTTCTTGTTTGTAGAAATAGATTCCCCTCTTTTTCTGTTTAGTTAAAGTGGCTGCATTCTCAGAATAAGTACACACACACACACACACACACACATAAAGGAAAATGGCCTGCAGTGGCCATTTTGAAGCAATGTAAGAAATAACTATGTGGTATTCCCGATTGCGCTTCTCAAAAAGACTCTGCTCAGTGCAATTTTCATTTATGTTAAATGACTGCAGTGTCACTTTAAAAAAAGTGGTGGCAGGGGGAGTTG